ATTGTATTATCAAATTTCTCATGCCACTGTTTCGGCGCTTGCTTAAGTCCATAAAGAGACTTAATCAATTTGCAGACTTTGTTTTCTTGTCCTTTTACAACGAATCCTTCAGGTTGTTGCATATATATTTCTTCTTCTAGTTCACCACTCTAGAAAGCGGTTTCACATCCATTTGATGTATCTCCAAGTTATGAATAGCGGCTATAGCTATCAACGTCCTTATAGACGTTATTCTTGTGACTGGTGAGTAAGTATCGAAGAAGTCTTGACCTTCCTTTTGTCGATACCCCTTTGCAACTAGTCGAGCTTTTTATTTCTCTAAAGTGCCATCGGGTCTCAATTTTCTTTTGAAGATCCATTTATGGCCAATGACTTTATGACCTTGTGGTAAATCGACCAATTTCTATGTGTTGTTTTGCACAATGGAGTCGATCTCACTTTGGATGGCCTCTTCCCAATATGAGGCCTCGGATGATTCTATGGCAGCCTTATAGGAGAGAGGTTCTCCTTCAATGCTAAATGCCATAAAGTCTGGTCCAAAGTATTTGGCTACCCTTCCCCTTTTGCTTTTCCTTGGTTCCACCTCTTCTTGAACCTTGGAGCTTTCAATAATCTTTGATTGATCACTATCATCAATCAATCTTTTCCTGGGATTAGAAGTATTATTCTCTTTTTCTTTATATGGGAAGATCGTCTAAAAGAATTCTGCATCTGCAGATTCTATAATTGTATTGTTGCTTATGTCATCTACATTAGATTTGTATACTAGGAATCTATATGCAACACTATTATAAGCATGACCAATATATATATATATATATATACAATCTACTGTTTTAGGGCCAAGTTTAGTCCTTTTTGGCAAAGGGACTTGAACCTTAGCAAGGCAATCCCACACTTTTAATCTTTTGTAAGCTAGTAATCTCCCTTTCCATAGTTCATAGGGAGATTTTTCACTTTTCTTATGGATAATCCAATTAAGGATCATATTTGCAGTAAGACACGTCTCACCCCATAAATGGTATGGAGCTCCGGACTTAATTAACATTGAATTCATCATATTTTTCAATGTTTTATTTTTCTGCTTTGCCACTCCATTTTGTTGAGGAGTGTATGGAGCGGTTGTTTGATGTACAATGCCATGTGTAGTACAAAATTCTGCAAAGTCGTTGGATTCATATTATCCTCCCCGATCTAACCTTAGAATTTTGATTTTCTTGTCAAGTTGATTTTCAACTTTCAGCCTTATATGCTTTAAACATATTTAAGGCCTCATCCTTTGTACTAATTAGATACACATAGCAGTATTTAATGCAATCATCAATTAATGAAATATAATAATTCTTTCCTTCTCTTGTAGAAGTTGCCTTAAAATCGCACAAATCAATATGGATTAACCCGGGAATTTCATTTAATTTCTCTACAGATCTATGTGGATGATTTGTGTACTTAGCTTCTACACAAACCTCACACTTCAACATTTTATCAATAGAACACTTAGGAATCATGTCTAGTTTGATCATTCTTTGTAGTGATCTAAGGTTGACATGTCCTAATCTAGAATGCCAGAGGAAAGAAGGATCCACAATATACATAGAAGCAGTGCTTGTGCCTGCCTTAACTTTATTATATACAATGGCGGCATCAGAGTTATTTACAATGCTTATCTTGAAGAGTCCCTCGTGGAGGAAACCCTTCCCAACATACGCACCACCCTTGGTGATGACAAATTTGTTCGACTCAAATACAATTTTGAACCCTTTCTTACTAAGAATAGGGCCAGAAATTAACTTCTTAGTTAATGACGGTACATGTAGCACATCAGACAGAACAAGATCATTTCCGGAAGTCAATTTTAGAGTGATCTTCCCTTTTTCCTTCTATACTTGTTGTAGACGCATTCCCCATAAACATCGGGTCCCCTTCCTTCACCATTTGATAAGTTTCAAACAAGCTTCTTGAATTGCAAATGTGTCGGGTTCCCCCGGTGTCGACCCACCAATCAACGACATTGGTCACCATGTGTGCTTCAACGACTCCAATGAATTCATTCGGGGAGTGAGTGATATTGACATGATTTGAAGATGATGCATATCCACCACCACCACTTCCTCCAGCTCCCCGATGGTCACGTTTGTATCGACAATCCTTAGCTCTATGTCCCGGCTTCACACAAACCCAACAGTGCATTACTTTTGAAGGTTTTCCTTTGTGGGGCTAAGGGACCCTTTCCGGATGAAAAAGGCCTCTTAGTCATCACATTATTCCCTTTCATTTTAGGGAACTTTTTACTTCGAAGATTTACCTTCAATCATGTTGGCGTGAGGCTCGAAGGTATTTACATCGAACTTATCATTTAATTGATTATCTTTCTCCACTTGTATATTGAGGACCAATTGTTCAAGTGTCATGTCCTACGTCAAATGCTTCAAGAAAAGCTTGAAGTTTTTCCATGAGTGGGGCAACTTATCTATTATCGATCCTACCAAGAAATTGGTATTGATGCCTATGCCTTCAATCTCTAACTCGTGGTAAGGACCTACAATTCTTCTACTTGTTTCACCACCGACTTTGAGTCAACCATCCGGTAATTCAGAAATTTCCATACAATGAACCTTTTGGAACACACAACCTCAGTCTTATATTTTGTGTCCAAAGACTCCCATATTTCCCTTGCGGTCCCAAGGGTTGAGTAGATGTCGTATAAGGAATCTTCGAGAGCTTTTAGAATATAGTTCCTACAACTATATTCGTTAGACCTCCAATTCTTGACAACCTTCTCATACGTAGCCACTTGAATATGAGTGGGTGTCGAGCCATCTTGCCCAACCGGTGGACTCGGTGATGGTTTTGCCTCGGTGAGGACGTTGGAAACTCGAAGCGTTGTTAAGTAGAACAAACATCTTCTGTTGCCAACGACGGAAATTCGATCCTTTAAACTTCTTGAGTTTCTCCACGTGATTTTTCAACACGTTTGATTGATCCATTGCTCCTTAACAAAAAATTTGTCTTAGATTGTTAAGAATCATCAATCCAAAACAGAAAGATGCATATAAATTGAAAGAATTTTGTAGGATAAACAAAAGATTCTTATTCAAAAAAACGTAAACTTGTAATACAAATCTATGTAATTAACATAATTAACATCTACAAGGATAGAATTGGAGCAAACATACTTGATATTGCAAATTCTTCGTGATATTGATCTCGATTGAGGCCTACACAATCGCAGTGTTCTAAGACAAAAATTTGCCGGTAGAATTGGCGTTCGTCTAGAGGATACAACAATCGAATTCAAGTTCGCACTTGAATCTAGCGAATTAGTATATGTTTGGTGATAGATTTTTTGTACGAAACATAGGAGAGAAAAACCGAGAGTTTTTCTTTTCTGCATCCAGCGAGAGAAGAAGAGACAAAGAAAAAAAAACTGTCGTTCGAGTCGATTTATATCAGATCGAGAGACCCCAAGGCTCAAGGCCTATCTTTTGACCTTAAATATGTATATGTGCATCAAGGAGAGCCACCATAAAACACCACACACAAAGACCCAAGCTTTTAAATAATTCATTTAATGCTAAGGATTAGTGCATATTAAGTGGGTTAAGTTTCCTTGACTCTCCTAGAAAGGACAAGGTTTCTCACTATTAAACCAAGTCCCAACAGTAATTTGTATGAATATGTATTTTTATTAACATAAATACACACCATTAATAATCAATCGGTATGAAACATATAAATGGTTATATTATGTACTTATATAGTTTGTAGGAATATAATTTTGAATTTTACCAAAAACAACAATGGAATCAAAATTGCTATAAATATTATTTAATATTTAATTTTAAAAAATATTTGTTACATTTGTTTTAAAGGTTAAACTGCAGATAACAAGACAAAAGTCAAATATTCTTCACAAGGGTACAAATCACAAAACAAATATTAGATACGATCTTTTGTCGACCGAAAACTATTTGAAAAAAAAAAAAACAATTTTAAAAATATATTAATTGATAAAAACCCTCGATAAATATCAACCTAAAAACCAAACGTCACTTTCAATTTTTATAATATAACGTAATCTACATGTAATATATTTGAAGATAGCCTTATGCTATCTGAAGTCATGTGAACGTAACCGTCTCCACAAAACCTGGTAAAAGTACATATTCAAGTTTTATCGTCTTCACCATTTTCTCAAAATATAAGATAATATTCATCAAGTATTTTCACCATTTTTAACGTTTCTTATTCCGGTGAGAATGAGGGTTATGATAAAAAAAAGGTAAAAAAGAGATCTCTACTGTTGGATCAATCATAATTGAAGATCGAAAGGAATGAGATGTACCATCAAATCCTATATCAAACGTAATTCATAGAATGGGGGTGAGATTAGAAGTGATTAAAGGTTTACATCATTTCCTATGCTTCTCACGTTAAATGTTATTCTCACAAGCAGAAGTGCTCATGTGTTGGTTGATCGAGTTGAAGGTATTTGAACAACTCAACTCAATGCTCGCGGTTTGAAAAATCTCAACTCAACTCAATTTGCAAGCGCACACACATACATACACACACACACACACATATATATATATATATGCATGTATGTATGTGTTTACAGTAACTTAAGTCTTAACATATATACAAAAGAGTTATATAAAGATGAAGAATAGATTAGAAATATCTGCATATGAAGAGCGTACGTGATAATATAATTATCTAATATACATATTAATTGAGACTCGACAATCAAAGTTTAAAGATTGTACAACTTGATTAGATATCAAATTGCTTCAGATTGAATTATTTTACATTTCAGATAAATTAGATTGATCGGATTTTTGAGCAACCTTTACCCTGCTCCAAAATTCCTTGTCTATTGAAATAAATGTATAAATTTATTGATCGATGAAAAAGAGATGTTACATATGGCAATTCCAATGGGACTCAAAACCGTCAAAACCTAAAATCTGCTAAAAGTTAAAGAAACCACATGGTAGGACGATAGGGGCAAACCCCAATTAGTCGCGGCTGCTATTCCATCATCTACTTTCCTCCAATAATTCAACAAATAAATCAAAATCCCCAATTCACTCCAGATAACACCTTCTCTCCCATCTTCTTTGCTTGATCCATTCTTACCTTTGTACCTATTGCATGCTTCCCTGCGTGTAATCGAGCTCACAGTGTGCTTCCACCTCCCTTTTCAGGAATGGAACTCCATTGATTTTGTTGAAATGGGTGATCTGATTTCGTAATCTGGCTTAGATTTCCTTTTTCGATTTGAAGTATGATACTGCAGAGTTCTTTCACGTCTTGGATGAATCACTTTATTGATTACATGGGGTAAGTATTCGATTCCTATCGCCATCTTTTCATGAGCAAATGGAATTTTAATTTTCCTTTTGGTTTCAGTGAATATGGAAACTAGGTTTCAGCATAAATTGAATTTATTATTTTATTAGTTCAAATAGACACACCCCTTTGAGTTTTTGGGGTCAATTGGACTAACTGTCAAATTCGACGGTTGTAAAACCCTTTTTAACTTTCGGTTACTGTGTTGAAGCTCCGTAGTTGTTCTGCAACGAGATGATTCTATATTCGTAATTCGAATTTGTAACGTAATCCTTATTTAGGGTTGATTCTGGAAGTAGAAGTGTACACACCATCTCATAAGAGATGTAAGAGGTTGTTTGTTTACCTCTTAATAGTTCCATTAAGAGGCAACCTCTGAATCGTTAAGAGGGGAATCTTGTTTGGCAAAAAAAAAGTCAGTCTCTTAATGGTTCTAAAACCCTCCGAATGATTTTGTATACTGGATCTCCCTTAACCATTAAGAGCCCTAATTTCATTGTACACAGTTACCAAACAATTATATTTCATTTTGCGTTATATCATAAGAGCCTCTTAATCATTCTGCACCAAACCATTTAGCAATTGCCAAACAGCCTTCTGACTCTCCTTAAGAATTTACTAAAAGTAGTTCATGAATCCCATATATTTAACTCCAAATTGAGGACCAAATATATGACAATTTTTTGGTAATAATTGTTCGTTGGGCTTACACAATCTAGCTTTGATTCAATTAGTAAAGAGAGATTCAACGACTAAAAGAAAGATCGATTCTATGGGATCCTTCCTTTCTTCAAACGGAAGGAACAAAGATAGAATCGAACTGATTTCTGTAACGCCTTTCTGGGTATTCCTCAATGTCCCAAGTGTTAACGGAAGATGATTAATCATCTGCTTCTAGAGAAATCAAAGAATTTATTAGGAAACCTACAGGATCCATCTGTTCTTATAATTAGAAACTAGATGGGAAATGCTGAGTGTCACAAAATGTGTTGGCATGTTCTATGAACCCTATGATCACACGTATAGTTGCATTTGTGTTTTATGGTTATGCCCAGCTTACATGACGTGTGTATTTCCATTACGCTTTGTACTTTTCGTACATGATTAGTTATATACATGTACTCACACATGTCTTTGTTTCCATCCTAATTGTTGTTATCGGTTTTTTGCCATGTGATGCACACTTTTAAGATACATAATGGTTAGGCATCGTAGGACACTATAGTTAACTAACATTCGCATCATCAGTCGCCCAAAAATAGGCTACCGAAAGAAGAAAGATTGTTATCTAGAACTGCTTGTTGTTGAAGAGCACAAAGTGGAGGGAGATTAACAATACTCCTTGAGATCATATCCATCCACCATGAAGCTCCTTTGGAACTTTATGGCAAGAAGTTCTTCCATTTTAAGCTCAGTACGGAAGTAGCATAGTTTCAGTCATAAGTTTTAGAGGCTTTCTGGTGTTATTTGCTTATGCCATTTAACACTTTAAATTTATGGGTCCTATTTGGTACACAAAAGTTAACTAAAAGCAACGATCTTTATCAGCTTTATTTATTTCATATTATATGTAACCTTGCTGCCTTTACATTGATCATTTTTTAGTGAACCTGTTTGTAACAGAGCAGTGGTTGCTTTGGTTGCTGTTCCAAATCGAGACCAATTACTGCAGTTGATGAGCCATCAAAGGGTCTTAGAATACAAGGCCAGACCGTAAAGAAATCCACTCTCTCAGATGATTTTTGGAGCACAAGCACCTGTGATATTGATTTTAGTGCGGTTCAGTCTCAGAGAAGCTTATCATCAATCAGTATCTCAAATGTGAGTCTCAGCCAATCAAGCGGCACCACCAGTGCTGGTATCCAGTCAGAATTTGTTAACCATGGCAAGTTTTCTTCTTTACAGCTTCAGTTGATTTAATTGACATTTTGTAGGACAAATTATGTGCATTGTCTTTGGCTGAGGAATCTTTGTTCCATATTTTGTTCATGGTGTCTATGGAAGAAGGTTTCATACATTTTGACTTTTAAGATCAAAACTAGTACTTCTTAAGGGTGCGTTTGATACGTGGACTAGGGTGAGGTAGATGGGTGAAAGAACGTTGGAAGGTCTTAGTTTTTAATTTGATGTGAGTAGTTTAGTAATTTACCAATTATGTCCCATCTCCGTGATTCTTGTTCATTGATTTTTTTGGTAGGGTGTCCCAGGCTATATATGCCTGGACTTATCCCGGCAAATTGTGAATGCAAGAAATCAGCCCTGATAAACTATGTGACACAATTGTTGTGTACGCCTGGAATAGAACCCTGGGCAGATGGGATATTCCACCACATCCCCTAGGGCCTCAACCACTATGCCACAATCCTTGTGGTTTTGTCCAACGGTTTCGGTGGGACAAAAAAATGCATTTTTGTCCCACAAAGGACCAATCTAATGTCGCGCCACACATGGGACAAGAAGTCTCTATACCATTTTGTATTGCATGCTAAACGCACCCTAAATGCAAAATTGATATGGATTACGCATTCTACACCAGATTTTTCTATTTTTATACATGTCATGGAATTGATTTAACAATACTATCGAATATTTGTTAATCTAAAGATGGAAACGACTATCTTTGACTTAGAAAGTCGTGTACTTTTTGAACGAATGGAGTACAAGATTCAATCTGAGAGAGATTGTTATTAAAGTATGGCTTCCTGTTTTGGAAGCCATTCTTATCTTTATTAGAGTAATGACAATAGTTATTTGTCGCATTGTTGAAACCAGGTTTGCTACGATGGAATCAATCAAGGATACAGTGGGTTGAAAGTAGAAAAACGAACAAAGGGAAGGCTCGGGAACCAGTTTTAAGGTTACAAAAATTTCTATCTCCGTGATCTTTTTTATGTTCTCTTCCGCAATCATATTGTTTCTTGGAGACTGTTTAATCATGTAGAGCAAAAGTTCGACAATGATAACCAAAATTAGGTCATCATTTCCCACAATCAAAACTACATAAAGGTCACAGCTCAGGGGTCTTCTTGGAAACAATCTCTCTGTCTCTTGAGACAGAGGTAAGGTTTATGTTCATCTTACCCCTCCTCTGGTGTGATATACTTGGTTTTTTTGCTTTGATTTAAAAACTACATAAAGGCTTGTGTTGCATAGAGCTAGGGGGACCCTGGTGCACCAATATAAGTTGGTTTAACCTCCGTGACTCGAACCCTTGATATTTTGGCTTGATTTGGTCAACCATAAGAATTTGGGGTGCGCTTTGTACGCTGGCAGGACTGGATGGAATTAGACAGGCGACAGTGAGGTAGGTGGCTGAAAGAAATGTGGAAGGTTTTAGGGTTTTAATTTGACATGGGTTTAATATAGTAATTTACAAATCTTGTTTCATCTTCCTGATTTGTTCCATTTATTTTGGTGGGTCAAAAAATGCATTTTTGTCTCACTCAAGTCCTGTCCTGTTCCAATCTAATGTCGCACCAAATGTGGGACGACAAGATTTTGTACCAGTTTTGTTCGGTGTACCAAACAATTCACCCTGGAGATCTCGATTCTTGTTTCAATATATTTTATGAATTTTTCGAATTTGTTCGTTTAACATGATCTGATTGATAGCAATGTTCTCTACCTGAATTCTTTGTTTCCTTTACTTTTTGTCTAATATCATCGTGCTTTTGAAGCTGGAACGCTACATATGAAAGCTTACTGGGTACCAGCAAACGCTTTCCTCAGCCGATCCCTCTCTCTGTAAGTCACTCTGTTCATTGGTACGCAGATGAGACTGAACATGACTGTATAGGACGGGACATGCGAGAGTGAGGTGAAAGAATTGTGGAAGGTTTTAGGGTTTAAACTAACATGGGTAATTTAGTAATTTGTCACTTTTGTCCCATCTCCCTGTAATCTTTTGTTTTGGATGTTTAACATTGCTTGCCACTACACAAGAAACAAAAGATTATAGGGAGATTGAGCAAAATTGGTAAATTATTAAACTATTTATGTCAGTTTAAACCCTAAAACCTACCACAATTCTTTCACCTGCTTACATCACTTTCCTGTCATGTCTTGTCTAGTCCTGTCTGCGTACCAAATGTACCCTTAGCGCCCTCTATGGTTGCTCGTTATGTAAACCACATAGGATTGCCATCTAATCACCAAAAAAACGGGCGTTTTTTATCTACAGGAAATGATTGAATTTCTAGCCGACATATGGGAGCATGAAGGATTGTATGATTAAGATCAAGTCATCGCCAACGAGCTCTCTGATTTCTATCGTATGGTTAAAGTTTCGCCGTTCGAAATCTTGATGTGTATAGCAGATTAACTATGCAAATTATACCCAATTACTACATCTTTGCTGTACAAAAAACTTGAACTGTACTGTTATTCATTCTCATCCAAGAAACTGAAAATAGATAGAGAAATATTTCAACTTGTGGAGTTATGTGCATCCAAAAGTGTACCCATAAAATAAGCTACCTTATTTTTGCCAAACAATGCGTTCTTATACTCGTTCGTAATATGCAGAAATGATGCAACTTGTGGACTTCCTACACATAAATTATAACCTAATAGAAAGAGCTGAAACATGGATGCTTAAATTTGGTCATTCAAAACTGCAAGTAGCAAGAACTGAATCCCAGCCAATAACACTAACCAACCTCAAAACACCAGGACAGGACTGAATCAAAATTTAGATTGAAAGAAGAAAATAAAGAAAACTTTGTATCTTTTGGATTGGATTGGATTCAGCCACTAACCTTCAAAAAGCCACAACTTCGATACAAACTCTAAAGACTCTCTTGGACTTATAGTTTCTTAATAACCAGAAGAGTAGAGTATTCGTGCAATGTAGCGAAACACATCTTGATTTTAATGTTTTATTTTATTATTTGTCTATGTCGATGTTATAATACGATTTTATGTGTTTTTAAGAAAGCAATAACGATTTTATTTTTGAATAAAATATAAGTTTGAAAATATTATAAAATAATAATATCAATGTTAGTATCAAATCAACTATTTAAAAGTTCTCATTTTTTTATGTAATTTCTTTAATTTATTTTTTTATTATAATTTAATTTAAGTTTAATAACGAAATAATTTATTTTTGGTTTAATAATATAACATTTTATAAAAATAATAATTAAGTATTCTATTAAAACTCAATCATTATCCTAATTATATTTTAGATTTTTAATATTTAAAATGAGATGTTTATCATGTATTTGATTATGTTTATCTGCAATTAGTTACACGGATTTAGATATGGAGCTTCAATAAGTTGTACTTACGCACAATCTACTTGCAATCCTGAGTTTTAAGTACTATGTATTAATAAACAGTACTTTACGCATACAAAATTGTTTTTAAAAGTTTTTGTCAAATATTTTATAATATAGTATAGATAACGGACACCAAGGTTATAACTGCTATAACATGAATTGTGTATTATTCGTGTATATGTAATATGGGATTTGCTCATCTCAAGTGGAGAGAGATATTTTTGGGCCTCATATTTTGATTCACTTGGCCATAAACAAATGGATTAGTTGCATGAATATCACTTGTCTGAATCAAATATGTTGAGATCGAGAAACATAATATTTAAACTATAAGGGTACGTTTGGTATGCAGACATGACATGACAGGACAACTGTTCAGCGTTTGGTAAGACATGATACGACTGGACAGAACTGGTTAAAATGACCAATTTACCCCCAGTGAGTCAATCCCAGAATTCTAACCATCATGATCAAATTAATCTACCATACTCCTAAACCCACTTGAGAAGACGACATCGGATTCTAAACCCTAAAAACTTCAACTTCAATCAATTTTACAGTCAATGACAATTTCGATTAAAACCCTAAAATGAAAGTTGTTTTCCAATCAATCCTAGCAGTATTTCAAACTATGCTACAGAATTTTGCTCCCTATACTCCAAGATCAAGGATTTGGAGATGAGAAAATACAAGAAAAATATTGAAATCGAAGGAGATCTGATGAACAATCTTACAAAAGTAGTTCCTAATGCTGCAGATTACCAAAATGAGCTCGTCATCTGGGTTTGTAAATGCAATCGTCACAGTTGCTTCCATCGTCTCCATTGGCCACAGAGAAGAGAAGTGAAGGAATGATTAAGCAGACGTTGCCGATTGAAGGGGAAGAAGGGTGACGCAATCGATACCGCCGATTGAAGGGGAAGAAGGGTAATGCAATCGATGCCGCCGATTGAAGGGGAAGAAGGGTGACGCTTGCAATCGATACCGTCGATTGAAGTATACGGTGGAAGCGACGAAGGGTTTTGAGAGGGTAGATAGGTAAAATATTTCTTGTTTTACTTAGTTCCAGAGGGGGTAGTTCTAGTGAGTCCAACATAAGGTCACACCAAACATAAGACAATTGTGTTCTGTCATGTCCTGTCCCACCCTGTCTAACGTACCAAACACACCCTAAGGGATGAGATAGATTTATCTATTTACAACGTTTGTCGGCGTAACTTCTACGTTATTCGGGCAAAAAGTTGATAGTCGGCAATCCCAAGCGGCCCCACACAGAACTCGCCTCCAAGGACATCAATGTGAGGGGGCATTTCGTCACTCTTCGATCTTGCACCCTTGTCTATGAAAGCCCTCTGTGTTTGCAGTGTTGCTAACTGAACAATACATGTACATATCAGGTTTTATTTTTCAGTGGACATAATTTCATATAATTATAAATATCGGGTTTTTGTTCAAATATGACGTTTTATTTTAAAAAAACATGTTATACGTCAAGATTCCTATAATCTTATAACAACACTTTTAGATAAATCGTTTTATTGTTTGGTTCCATAAATTTACGTCTTATGAATCCGATATTAATGTAGTACGTTTGCTACACCACACTTCCACTATATAAATTTGCAACATGCTTAATTTTTTTAAAATAAAATAATAATTAATAAATACAAAAAAAATAAAAATATGGATTAAAAAAACAACAAGATGCAAAGCAAGTTGATAAAGACTACAATGAACCAAATTCCTAAAATTCCAACAAACCCTTTTGACCAAATTATAATCCATTCGCTATTAAATTATTTAATGTATCAAATTTAGCCTCCCAAAAAAGGGTATTTAATTGAATTGCTTTTTTAGTTTTTTCCTAATTTAAAATTAAGACGCTAATCAACTTGTAATTAGATATTAATCCTTTTTAGCTGTTTTCTGTTCATCATCTACTCCCTACATATTGTGGCAATCGAAACTTTGCTGGTTTTAAAAAGCCATGATCATTATCTAATTATTTTTTTAAAAAAAATTGCACGGAAAATTACTAGTTTAATACCTGTTGCATGTACATGCACGTTAAAATTAATACTTGATATACAATTTAAATTCGCCCTAAATTTGGGTTAAAAGTCGGTTTTGAATGATTATATATTAAGGTTTTTATATAATTGTTAATGTTTATCATAGTTTTAAGCAATACTAATTTTAGATCAAGGGGCCGTTTACCAAATGTTTATTCGGGTAAACGCTTACCAAGTTTTATTATTTTATCGGATGAATATGGCAAGGACCAAGAATCTTACATGGTAGATTGAGAGTCTTATCTGATAAGTGAGGTCAACGACTCTTATCACGGTCAGCACTTACCGGGTAAATTGTTGCATATGAAGTTGTTTTTGTTTACTAAAATATTACCAGATAAGTAAATGTTAGTGTTGAATTTTTCTGCCAAATATTTATCGGGTAAGTATTTGGTAAACGACCCTTAAATATCGATTTAGATATGACCATGCAATGAATTTTTTTTTTAATTATTGTTGGTTTCAAAAATATATTTTCACGATAAATGGGATATTTTTTTTATGTTTATTTTCGTTGTTATGGTAATTTTTAATAGAAATTGTTTAAATTGTAAACCAATTTTCATTGTATATTAGAGTAAAATACATAAAATAGCAATCTATTTTCATAATTTTTTTATTATAGCATTGTATTTTCAGTTTTTCTTATTACAGCAATATACTTTCAAACTATTTTTTATTAGGACATTGTACTTTGAAAAATTTACTCATTGTAGCATTGGGTAACCTTTTGATTTAAATTTACCCATTATACTAGATTTTCATGCCACCTCATTGTCCACGTAGGCTGTCCACATGTAGCATAGTGATGTGACTTTTTTACTACATCATTGTACTTTCAAAATTATTTTATTATAGTATCTACCAGTTCTTATTAAACACTGTATTTTTAATTTTAATATTTAGATATTTTACATGTTATTTAATAAATGTATTAAATGAATTAAAAAAATTATAAATTGTTCATTAATATACCAATATCAATAAAACTAGTAGAACACAACTTATCTCGCTAA